CTTGTCACCATGAACGCAACACTGTGAGGTGTCAAAGACCTCTGCTGGTCAAATACATATCTAGTGAACAAATATCTCAATGAAAGAGAATGGTGAGGAGGAAACAGCTAATTGAAATAACAGATTTAGGTAAATAGATGTGAAAAAATGAAGAAAGGAATGGGAAGTACATGTCAACATGTGGATCCTTAAAGATAATACGTTTTCCTTATTATTCCTCTCTCGGTCTCATATAAAATTGTTACTGTGACAATAAAAATGATTTCTTCTGATTTTATTAAAAGGTGATTGTAGGTTAATCCTTGCCATGTTTACCCTTTTACATTAATGTCCCCTTAAAATCTTAGTCAACTTTTTCCCTAAACTTTGATTTTCTTTTAGGCAGGAGTCAAAATGTTTCAACCAAAGATGAAAATTCATTAAAAAAATAAAATCTCAAATTTTTTCAAGCCATGTGAAGTCCTAAAACACTGTCAAAACTTGCTGGACAGCACTAAACAGAGCATTCGCTTGAGATTTCCTTTTCCTCATTCGGATGGACCCCATCCATCCATCCATCCATCCATCCATCTATCTATCTATCTATCTATCTGTCTGTCTGTTTTTGAGGTTTTGTGATGAAATTTAAATAAGTTTTAGATATATTTATTTATTTATTATTTTCCACATGAATGGGTATTTTAATCTGCCTAACACACTGACATTTAAAACATTCAAGAATTCCAAATAAAAAGAATACAAAAAAAAACAAACAACTGTAGTGCTGTGACTGTAACAAACACCTGAGCAAAGACAGATTTTTCACATCTTTGGGGATMTATGGCTGAACAATAAATGATTAGTGATTTTTCATTATGTCTGTCTGATTTCATGACAAATGTGTTTTCTTCCAAAAGCAGTTAATGAMAAATGTGACTCAACCTGCAAATCTGGTTTGTTCTCTTTGTGAGCAGTTTCTGATACAAATAAAACATGGAGTTATTCTGCTATTAATTTGTTTTTTGTTGTTGTTGTTTTTTTCATTTGAGCTGCTTAGGGGATAATATGTGGCTTCAAACCCTTTATTTTATCCTGCTGGGTGAATTTATTGTAGCCTGCSATTCTTTTCAGAAACGTGTCTTGGTTCTGCTCCATCTACTCTACTACCTCCTGCTGTAAACTTCCAGTTCACATTCAGGAAGTATTTTTCACAAACACTTCTAATGAAGTGATTGTGAAAGGAATATTGCACACTGCAGTTTCCTTCCTATCGTTTRACTCATCACCTGTGTTTTGAAGTCATTCAGGTATGAGCAGCTTTGTGGAGCAGCTGTAATAAAAAAGGAAGATGAAGACTACTCCATTGTAGTAAGTCTTGTGCTTTTCTAGTTCAGAAAGAAGCTCCTGTGTCTTGATGTGTTTATTTAAATACATGATGATGTTTATTATGTCCTCCATCAGTGAGTTTATAAAATGGGAATCTCAGTTGTGTTTTGTTGTAATGTCTCTGTGCTTCACACTTGTTGTAACACTATCAACACTGACCCAAGAGCAGCAGAGKAGAACCAAACACAGTTAAACATGCCCTTAAAAGGTATCCCATCCTCACTGCCTGAGCTGCTGCTGCTCTCTGATTTCTGCCAGCACAGATTTAATCRCCTGCAAATGAGTTTGCTCTCACTATACGGGCATATATTATGACCTCACGCTCTAACGCCTGTTTTCAGATTTTCCTCTGCATCGTTGTCRCTTGCTTTTAAAAGAAGACCTCAGACTCGTCATCTGCTCTCCAGCTCGACAACAGTTCTCCTGGCACAATGACCRCCATCAGCAGATCCAGGTTCCTCTACCACAGACTGAACAGCGACTTCACACGCAGACTGTCTTCCTGCTCCCAGGCTCTGTGCATCTCACCAAGCAGCACAGCAAACTTTTACAGGTGAGGAAAACATATTTTTAATAAGATGCTTTTGCTTTACGAGGATTACGAATGTCAAACAAAATGCTACATGTCTAAAAACAACAACAAAAAATAATCTGCAGCTCCAATAAAATGTGTGCAGGTGGCTTTAATTTGAATGAGCTGCAGTCACTTCCTGTCAAAAGTACCAGAGTTGAGCTGTAGCCCTTTTTGTATCTGAAGGAACATGTGTTTCAGTGGGGAACTGATATTGTGTAAAGCTGTATGATCATAAATAAAACTAAGTATGAGCAGTGTAGAGCCAGTAGTGCGTGTTATTTAATTTACATTAAAATATAACACATATTCTAGACAAAGCTCAATAAAAACCTAATGTTAACATGCTTACTTTTGGTGTCTCTTAAAGCTTTTAAGTCATTCTTTTTCATTCAGTTGCAGTTTATATAGTGGAACTGCCATGCTTTGGTCTGAAATCCTCCTTATTGTAACTCCACAAGCCCCTCTGTCAACCCTGTTCTGAGGGGCGTCTGAGAGCAACTCACGTTGATACTGTCTCTTTAAATGGAAATGAGGTGTTTCACACCCCGCAAAATATTCAAAATATACTAGATAACCAGTGTGTGTGTGTGTGTGTGTGTGTGTGTGTGTGTGTGTGTGTGTGTG